GGACCCTTGAGTCCGCAGGCCAACGCTCTATCCACTGAGCCAAACCGGTTCTGGCTCTCATCAAGTTTATTGGCAGCTTCTAGCACATTATTGCAAGCCCTCAAAATTGCATTTTTTAGCTCTATATCCTCCATTTCTGTCATGTTTTTTTGTCTCCGCATTTTTTATGCTTTCTTGGTGCACCTCCTTGTGGTCTTTGTGCGCAGTCTTGTTCTAGTTAAGCCTTGATTTTTTTAGTTAATACTGAGGGACTTGACCACGAGGCTGACTGGCTGTGAGAATCAGCTGTGTGGAAAACTTCTGTCCTCTGGGGAGGTGCTAATCTAGCCTTTGCCTGAGGCGATCCGGCAAATGGCTCTGCGCAGGGCTTGGGCGGGGTGGGATCAACAGGGCGGGCGGAGGGAGCAGTTATGGCTGCTCTCAGTCCCGTTCCCAGAGGCTCTGCTTCTCAGAACCCCGGCAACCGCTGCAAACCTCGGAGGGAAAGCTGCCCTCACGTTCCAACTGATGCCGGACAATCCCGCTTCTCCCGTCTGAGTCTGAGTCCCTAGAGACTCGCCCGGATCTGGAGCCCAGAGTCTGAGACTCACTCCTGATTGAAAACGACAACCGCGCCCTCAGCCACCAGCCCGCCCCGAGTGCGCACCTCCGCACCTTTAAATTTTCCACACTGCGCCTCCTCTGAGCCTCAGAACGCTGCTGTCTTTCCTTCTAGTTGAAGAGTCTCTCCTCAGCCAGCCTTCCTGTGGTTCTGGGTGATGTCCGTTCCGTCTTTTAGTTGTATTTTTGAAGTGGTTGTTTGCGGCAGCAGTCTCCGGTGTTTACCTACGCCGCCATCTTGCTGTTCTCCCCAGTAGATTTTTTTTTTAGTCAACGAAGACCTTGCTGCCTGCAGCCTCACGGGTTGGGGGCCCCTCACCCACAGGTACACGCCCCCCAGCACACACAGTCCTTCCTGTGGGAGCCCCTGGATCGGGACTCTCCTCCTGCCCTGATGCTGCTGCTCCTGTGTGGCTCAGCCTCTGGCTGCCGACCCCCCTCTGCCCCGCAGTTTGGCGAGAAGGAAGGCGCTGGCTCCGCTGGGTTCTGACAGCCCTGCCTTTGGGCAAAGAGGTTGGCCCAGGAAGAGCACGGAGCAGTGCCTGGGCCCCAGGCGTGTCGGGCTCCGAGCACTTCTTGCTCCGCAGGCACGTCCTGCAGGCTGTGGGCAGCCCTGAGGGAGGGTCCGTGTGAGGGCAGAAGGCGACTTGACCGGCTAGTAAGTTCCCAGAACAGCTAGAGAGGAGTCGGGAGCGGGAGGACCGCCCCGGGCTCATCCCTGGCCTGGGTCCCCTCGCGGTGTGTCACTCAGACACAGCTCGGACCCGCTCCAACGGGGCCCAGGCGTCCTCGAAAGAACTGGGCAGAGTAGATCGGAATGCACCAACCATCGCAAGCGCTGCTAGCATTTCATTAACTTTCTTCAGCTCTGTCTGTTCTCCTGTTAAGTATATTCAGTGAGTTTTAACATTTGTTTATTGAAGCCTTTTTATTTCTAGAAATTCCACTTGGTTCTTTTTCATTCAGCTGTGTCACTTAAAAACATTTTTTAGAAATTCTTATTTAAAGAGGGGAGGGGAGGGAGGGAGGGAGAGAGAGATGTGAGAGAGAAACATCGAGTGGTTGCCTCCCACAAGTGCCCGACCACGCCCTGACCGTGCCCCAACCACGTCCTGAATGCGAAACCCGGGCATGTGCCCTGACCAGGAACCAAAGCTGCCGCCTTTGGTGTGCGGGACGAGGCTCCCACCACCCGAGCCACACCGGCCAGGGCTGCTGTGCCACTTGGTAGAGTTTCTGTTCCCTGCGGGATCCTCTTTTACTGATTGGAGCGGAGTGGGCATGTCTGGCTTAGAGGATCTGTCTGAAGTCTCTTCAGGTTTGGTCCTGGTGTCTGTTTCGTTCTCTCCTGTGGCATCTAGTTCCTAGGAGCTCCCGGTGACCTCTGAGTGCCTGCTGGCTAATTGCATTAGAACTGGGTCTGCTGGTGGTAGAGCAGGAGGGAGCACCCTCCTCGGAGAGGGTGTGCCGCCAGCCCCCGGGCACCGCCGGCCCGCCTGCCCCGGGCGCCACGCCAAGCTCGAGTCAGGGGTGTGCACCTCCCAGGAGACTCCAGGGCCGGCTGCTGGGAGGGCCTGTTCCGAGGGGGCCTGGCTCCGATTCCTGTCCCTGTGAGGTGAAGCGGTCCTAATGAAAGTTCCGTCTTCTGCAGCCAGCACAGGCCTCCGGGGGAGAGGGGCTTGGCCGTTTCTGTCTCCGGGCTTCCTTTCGATCTGTCTGCGGAGGATCCGCACGGTCTCTCGGTTCTTTAAGTCTTAGAATAACGTCCCTTTGAAAAGTTCAGTTGCTGAGGTTTCTGCTTGGGTTGCTCCGTAGTGGAGTGTGACCACGGCTCAGCCCGGGGCCCAGAGCCTGCCCTCGCAGGGACAGGGGTCCCAGGGGAGCCGGTGGCCTGGACTGGGAGTGGGGGGAGGTGGCTGTGGGCGACCAAGGAGCTCAGCTGGCCCAGGCCCGTGGCCGCTGGCCTGGCTGCCGCTCCTGCTCCGGGCTCCTGGGTCTCAGGGCCCGATCGCCCTCCTGTCTCAGCTCGCAGGCCTGCTGTGTGACTGGTCACTCCGCCTCCACGTTCCCTCGCCTTCCCTGCCACGCCTCATCCCTTTCCTCCTTCGAGGCTAAGTTCAAGCCCCTCATCTCACATGAGGGAGTCGTTCTAGATTCATGTGTTCATGTGTCGGACAGTCCAGTCCCGGAGCCCTGGTCTAGGGGCTGGGGACACGGCCATGAGCCCCAGGCGGCCCTGCCCGCAGAGCTGGTGAGGGCAGCGGAGGCAAGCCAGCGGCCTGGCAGGCCACGGAGCCTTTAGTGTTGGGAAGTGGAATCTAAAAACAGTGCAGTCGACCCATATCCATATTTATATAACACACAGTGGGGAGGGGACCAAGTCTGAGGGAGCCTGGAGCTGGCGGAGGTGGTGAGGCCAGTATCATGCTCTAAGTGTGACAAAAAAGAGAAATAAAAGGAAAGCAGCATGTGACACAGCCTCTCTGTCTCTCTGTCTCTGTCTCTCTCTCTCTCTCTCTCTCTCTCTCTCTCTCTCTCTCTCTCCCCGTGTGTGTGTGTGTGTGTGTATGTGTGTAATAAAATAAATAAGACAATATGTGCTTCAGAACTACACGTTGGGCCGAGCCAGAAGGCCCAGGGGAGCAGCCTGCCAGCCTCCGAGGCAGGAGCTCGCAGGCACCAGGCGCTTGGCGGGGCCGCGAGGGACAGCTTTTCTGAAGCAGCAGACACCCCCCGGGAAAGTTTGACCAGCACAGAGGACAGTGTCCCCTAGTGCACACGGCGTTGCACCCTGGGAAGTCTGTGTTTCCTAGACCGTGCAGACAGGACTGTCTGTGCCCCTCGGCCCCGAGCAGGCCAGGCTGTCCACCCGCACGCGTGCGGCCGGTGTCGCGCTGGACAGTCCTGTGCTGCCGGGGCCAGCGCCTCTGTCCTGCCCTCTAAATGTCAGCTGTGACCTCCATCAAAATTGCCCCCCATTTCCAAAACTCCCCCTGGAGTGACCCCACTTCCCCGACTCCTGCAGGGAGCCAGTGGCTCTACCCAGGCAGTGTGGCCCCTGCAGGGCCCTGGGAGTCCATCAGCCTGAAAAAGCAGGACTTCCGGAGGGGTGACACCCGGCTGCTTCTTGGGGCCGAGCAGAACCCCCTGAAGACACACTCTCCTTAACAAACTGAGCTTGTTTCTGGAAGCGATGCCCACTCGTGCTGGCGGTGCCGAGGTGGGCTGGGCAGGGCAGCCCTGGCTCCACTGCTCATGGAATGCCATTCCCCTCCCTTCAAGGACGTCCTGCCTTCTCTGAACTCGGACTCACCCGGTTTCTCCCGATGGTACCAGAGGCCCCTGCCTGCTCCCGGGCTAGTTTCACTTTTAGTTCAGGGGCTGGAGGGCCAGCTTTTACCAGAGCAGGGCCATGGCCTTCCTTGGAGGGAGGAGAGGGGCTGAAGGAGAGGGCTCCCCGTCTCTGATCTGCTCCCCCCAGCGGCCCCTCCCAGGGCCCGGCACCCGTCTTTCTGGCGTGTTCCATGCTCCCGGAGCACGAGGCGGCTCTCAGAGGCCGGGAGCCCCCCCGCCCCCCTGGCCCAGGGTGTGAGGCCCTCCGGCGACGAGGAGCTCACTGCCTCACCGCAGCCCCTGCTCTTGTCCGAGAGGCCGAGTCTCCGGTGCCGGCATCTCACCAGGACCCGCTCCCCCCTCCCGCCACACCTAGAACAGGAGCTCCCAGCTCATGCCTCCTTTATACACAGAGGCTGACACCCTTCCGGAGTTTGGGCTTATGAAACTCATGAGTGTTTTGTGTGCGTCCCCAAATAAAAATTGTAATAGTGACTTTGTCCCTGGGACTTTGATGGGCCCTGTCTTCGGCAGGTGCCCTCTGATGGGAGAATTCCCGCAGAGAGGTCTCGGGGAGCAGGGGAGCCTTGCTCACACAGGCGGGGAGAGGGAGGAGGGGTGGTTTCAGGGGAAGAGAAGCCTTGGCCTGGTCCCACCGGGAGCGGGGAGTGGCCGGCACGGCCTCCGGGAGGCCGCGGTCCCCGGGGCCGGAGGAGGCACCCTCGCAGCCCTCCGTGGGCAGGATGGCAGTTGGCCAGGAAGGATGCAGGTGTCAGCTGCCGGCAGCCAGTGTCCACAGAAGCCGGGCACAGGCAGGGCCAGGGGTGGGGCCAGGAGCCTCTGAAAGTCCCTGGGGCGGAGGGCATGCGTCCCCCCAGCTGAGGTCCTGCTCTCAAACCTGCGTCTTGGACTCTTTACTCCACTCAGTCCGGGATGCTCCACGCCCGGGCCTGCTCCTCTGCCTGTCCCGGGGGCCGAATGGGATTGGAGGGCAGGGCGCCGGCTGAGGTTTGGCGCCGGGAGGCCCTGAGCCCCCCCTGAGCACGTGTCCTTCCCCGCCCTCCGCAGACTGCCTCTTCAAGGTGTGCCCCATGAACCGCTACTCGGCCCAGAAGCAGTACTGGAAGGCCAAGCAGACCAAGCAGGACAAGGAGAAGATCTCCGACGTGGTGCTGCTGCAGAAGCTGCAGGTGTGTGCGCAGGTGTGCGCCGTGTGTGCGCAGGTGTGCGCCGTGTGTGCGCAGGCACCGTGTGTGCGTCAGCACGCAGGGCCACTGCTCGCCAGAGCCGACGGGCCCCGTGGGGAGTCCAGTGGTTTTAAAACCCCATATGCAGAGGTTGGCGTTCTCTGCTGTGGAGGAGGGGAGGTGGGGGGAGAAGTGTCCTCCCAGCAGCCCGCTCGGCTGCATGACCCCTTGGTGCCCCTTGGAAGAAGGTGCACGGCCCTATGCCAGGGCACGTGGCTCGGTGAGCGGAGGGCGGACTGGGGTTCAGCGCCCACCAGCCCTTCAGCTGGACCCCACGCTTCAGCTGGACCCCACGGTGCCATAAACAACCCGCCCAGCTGCCCACGGGGTTCCCACTGGCTCCAGGAACCGCATTTGAGAATTAGTTGTAGAGTTGGGGCCTGGGCCCCGAGAGGGGGCTGGGCTGTCTGGGGTCACTCTGTGGTTTGCCGTGGGGCCTGGACACGGATGTGAGGCCTGGTGGTGGCTTGTGGCCTGTTGGGGCAGTGGCCAGTTCACATCCTGGGCTGTCCTCTCTGGACAGCTCAGGGCCGGGGCCTGGCCGTGCAGGGGAGAGCAGGGGGCTTGTCTGGGCCAGGCCTGTCTGCAGCCTGCTTCCAGCCCGCCCTTGGCCCTGGCGCCCCACCCCACGCAGGCCTTGCTTCTCTGAGTCCCTTGCTCTGAGGAGTGGGTGTGGGGTGGGGGAAGGGTGGCCCCACCCCAGCTGTGAACTGGGCTGGGGAGGGGCTGAGCTCTGTTACAAGTACGCCATCGCACTTGCTGAGCTGGGGGCGCTCACAGGCTTCCTCCCTGCCGGACCCAGGCCGGGGCTGACCGGGATCTGGCCTGGGCGTGGGCCCTCACATGTGCACCGACACACACTCAGAGCCACGTGTGTCGCACAACCACACGCTGTAGGCCTGAGGCACGTGCACACAGCAAGGCTCCCCAGCAGCCACCCTCCCCCCAGCCTCAGTCAGGGGACCTGGGTAATGGGACTAAAGAGAGGAAGGGGCCGAGGGGCCAGGCTCCCAGGGAGTGCCAGTCTGATGGAGGGGGCAGAGCCGACCCTCAGGCAGCTTCCAGTTTAATGGGACAGAAGTGCCCGAGAGGCTGTCCTCCACGGGATGCAAACCAAGCCCCCAGGACCAGGTGGACCCCTCAGAGGTGGATGTGGCAGTCAGGGAAGGCTCCCTGGAGGCGGCGGGCTGGGAGCACACACAGTTTTGGGAGGGAGGGCCACAGAGGGGTGGGGAGCAGGAGGAGGCAGGGGCACCAAGCACGCCGGCCAGCGTTTGGGCTGGGGCAGGGGCCCGGTGGGGCATGGGAGTCTGGTGAGATGGGGCACCAAGCACGCCGGCCAGCGTTTGGGCTGGGGCAGGGGCCCGGTGGGGCATGGGAGTCTGGTGAGATGGGGTAGTGAGGCTCAGCTTCGGTGTCTGCCAGGGTGTGTGGGCATCGGGGGCCCACGGGCTGGCCGGCATGGCCCCTCCGAGGGAGGTGGCCTGGGCCTGCCCCTTCACGCCCGCTCAGTCCCTCTCAGTAGTGGAGGGAGCGGACGAGACGGCCTCTGAGGGTCGCCTGGGCGCGGTGCCGGGAGCTGTGTGTGTGCGAGCGCGTGTGTCCACCTTGTACGTGTCCGCGCAGCACGCGGCCCAGATGGAGCAGAAGCAGAACGACACGGAGAACAAGAAGGTGCACGGGGACGTCGTCAAGTACGGCAGCGTGATCCAGGTGAGCCGCCTCCCCGGACGCCAGGCTGCTGGGGAGAGGGCGCTGGCCGGCACGCCCCCGGGGTGTCCCCAGTGGTGGCTCCGGGCAGCTCTGTGACTGCACGTAGTGGCTGAGTGCCCTGCCTGGGGTGCCTGGGGCGTGTCTCCAGCGCGGTGGCCGCCAGCACAGATGCAGCCACGCGGGCTGGGTTCATCATGGCCCCGGGACGTGGGCAGGTTCCTTGACTGCCCGGTGCCTCCGCTTCCCCATCTGCACAACCAGCCCAGTGGTGGTGTCGCCTCTGGGTTGCCGTCAGGATGCGTGTGATGATGTGTGTCAGGAATTTAGAACAGGGCTAGCTTCTATTTTTAAAAAAATATATTTTTATTGATTTCAGAGAGGAAGGGAGAGGGAGAGAGAGAAACAGCAATGATGAGAGAATCATCGGCTGCCTCCTGCACACCCCCTACTGGGGGCCGAGTCCCCAACCTGGGCATGTTCCCTTGACCAGAATTGAACCCAGGACCTTTCAGTCCGCAGGCCGACACTCGATCCCCTGAGCCAGATTGGCTAGGACGTAGCTTCTACTTTTGTGATCACCAGTGCCCAGCTGGTGTGTGTTGGTGTGTGCCTGCGTGTGTCTGTCTGTGTGTTTGTGTCTGTGTGTCTGACACTGTGTGCATCCAGCTGTGACCGAGGGTTTAGGGGGCCCCCCACGGCCCCGGGTGGGCTGGCCTCGGGCCCCTCACCCACCCCGCCTGCCCCAGCTCCTGCACATGAAGAGCAACAAGTACCTGACGGTGAACAAGCGGCTGCCGGCCCTGCTGGAGAAGAACGCCATGCGGGTGACGCTGGACGCCACGGGCAACGAGGGCTCCTGGCTCTTCATCCAGCCCTTCTGGAAGCTGCGGAGCAACGGGGACAACGTGAGGATGGGCCGGCTCGGGGCTCGGGGCTCGGGGCTGGGGGAGGCGCAGGCCACAGCTCTGGGGGGCCCGGTGAGGGCATGTCCAGTTCTCAGAGGGGCAAACTGAGGCCAGAGGCCAGGAGGCCTGCCCTTCCCGCCCTCACCTGCTCCGCCTGTCCCCACAGGTGGTCGTGGGGGACAAGGTGATCCTCAATCCCGTCAACGCGGGGCAGCCCCTGCATGCCAGCAATTACGAGCTCAGCGACAATGCCGGCTGCAAGGAGGTGAGTGGCGTGGGGGGCCGGCCGCTCAGGGAGCGGTGACCCCTCCCCGCCTGTCTCCCAGCATGGCCCCGTTATCCACCGCCCAGGCTGGCAGCCCCAGGGCAGCTGCGCTGGGGCCCGTGCGGGGCTGGCCCTCCCCTCACGCTCTCGGCCCTCAGTGCCGGCCCTCTCCCCAGAGGCCGGGCTCTGCCTGCCGTCACCGTCTCCACCCTCCCCCAGGTCAACTCTGTGAACTGCAACACCAGCTGGAAGATCAACCTGTTCATGCAGTTCCGCGACCACCTGGATGAGGTGTTGAAAGGGGTAAGGACGGGCCCCCACCGCTGCCCCACAGGTCCCCCTCCCCCCTGACCCTTCCCTCCACGTGCCCCCTGCTGGGGCTCTGCAGCCCCTCCAGCCCCCCTCCACCCCACAGAGGCCTGCCCACCTGCCCATCTACACCTCCCCTTCTCATCTCTGGCCTCACAACCCCCTCTCCATCTCCAAGTCCTGGCTGGCCTCAGTTTGCTCTCTTGCTAAGGGGGTGTCAGTAGCCTGGGGTCCCTGTTCCCCACATTGGGGTGGGCCAGATCCTTTGAGCCTCTGTCCCGTCCCCCATGCCTGCTCCGTGGATCTGGGCCAGGCCCCTGCCCCCTGCCCCCTGCCCCCTGCCCCCTGCCCCCTGCTGTGGTTCTAGACCAGCTGGTGTGGGTGCTAGGACATCAGGTGTTGATAGGCCGGAAGGGGGCGAGCCTTGGTGTGGGGGTGGGAGTGGGGGGGCAATGGACCGGGAAATACCGCAGGAAAGACTTTGGGAGGGACCAGAGCAGAGGGTGGAGGAGGTGGGGAGGCCATTGGAGAAACCCTGACAACCAGACGCGGGGAGGAAGGAGGAGGGTTCAGAGGCTCCTCGGGCTGCAGGGCACAGAGCAGCCTCCTGGGTGCAGGCCGTGTGTGGAGGGCAGAGTTAGGGTAGCAGCGAGGGTGGGGCTCCCGGCTGGGGGAATCAGCCGGTACACCTGGCCGTGATACCTGTTAAAGAGACAGGTGACAGGCTCTCGAGCGGCTACATCAGGAGGCCGCCTGTGTTGGCTGCTTGCGACCCTGCTCAGAAGCCTGCGATGCTCCCTTTGCCCCCCTCCGCCAGCCAGGCTGCTGTCAGACCTTCCTGTCCCCCTCAGGCTGCCGCACCCTCCTCCGCCCTCCCATCTCCCAGGCTGTTTCCCATCCACCCTTGCTCTGTGCCTTTCCCTCTCTTAAACCTGCACATCATCCACATATCAATCAAGGCTCAGCTCATGTGCCACCTCCTCCCAGAAGCCTTCCCTGATTACACATTCCAGCTCCCCATCTGTGCAGCGCTTAGAAAAGGACACTCACTGGGCTGACCCCCGAGGTGCCACCCAAGTGGTGGGGTGAATCTGTCGTGGCTCATGGCTCTTGATGTCAGACTCCAGGCGACTCGGAAGTGAGACCTGAGCTAACAGAGCCGCCCCGTGTTTGCTGTCGCCCTGCACTGCCTGGATACAGAAGCCACCGGGTTCTGCCATAGTAACGGGGCCAGTCTGTGTATATCCCTTCATTCCTTCATTCGCCCGCTCAGGCGTTCACTCCACAGATGTTGTGAGAACTTGTGTCCAGCGCAGTGTAGGGGCGGATATGCCATCAGTGATAACGGGAGCGGCAGCTGTGCCCTAAGGGCCTGCTGGCCCGCGGGGGAGTGTGGTGGAGAGGTGAGGGCACGGGTTCATGCTCCATCTGTCACTGGCCACGTGACCATCGACAGGCATGCACCGCCTCTGTGCCTGAGTTTCTGTGCATGTAGAACGGGGTAATGATGTGCGCCGGAGGGCTAGGGCGTGGAGTGTGAGAAGGTCATGCAAAGGGCTCACACAGCAGCTGGCGCGTGGTAAGAGTGTGGTGGTACCTCATCATACAAACTAGAATCCACACGTTCTGCAAGGAGGTCACGGCGTTCCCATTTTACAGAAGAGGAAAGTGAGGCCAGAGATGTTAGGGACTTACCCAGGTCACACAGCTCGTAAAGCGGAGCCAGGAGCCAAACTTGGTCTCAGGCCCCAGTCCCTGCACCGCAGCCACTCAGTCAGCGGGGAGCGGAGGGATGGGCACGAGGCCCCGAGAGCTGGGTGAGAAGGGCCGGGGAGATGCCGCCAGGCGGGCCACCCCTCCTGTCTTCACGGAGGGGAGACTTGGATTGGCCCGTGGAGGCCAGAGGTACTGACGGGAGGCGGCGATCCAGGGCAGGTGTGAACACGGAAGGCTGGGCGGGCGCTGGGTAGGAGCGTGTCTGCCCCAGCTGAGGGGGCTCTGAATTTGGGGTCTGGCTGAGGGTCCTGGCCGCCCTCTGCTGCCGGCTCTGGAAGGAGCAAATGGGGCCCATCCGGCAGCGCCTGCGGGGGAGGCCCTGGTCCCTCCTGAGCCCACCCCCCCGCCTGCAGGGGGACGTGGTGCGGTTGTTCCACGCGGAGCAGGAGAAGTTCCTGACGTGCGACGAGTACAAGGGCAAGCTGCAGGTGTTCCCTGCGCACCACGCTGCGCCAGTCCGCCACCTCGGCCACCAGCTCCAACGCCCTCTGGGAGGTGAAGGTCAGAGCCCTGCCCCTGGCGCCCAGGCCCAGCCCTTCTCTCCGGCTCTGGCTCCACCCTCCCTCTTCCTCCATCACTGGGGGGGGGGGGGGGGAGGGGGAAGGTGGTCCCTGCCCCTCCTGAGCCCCTCCAGGGCCAAGGGGCCAGGACAGGCCCAGGAGCCCCTGCCCAGAGCTCCAGCAGGCCTCCAGTGCCCTGCCTGTCCCTGCCTCCCCGGA